GGGAGGGGGGTATCAATCTGAGCAAGCTGGGTCTGGTTGCAGGAGGGCTTGTGGGGGGGAGCTGCTCCAGGACCAGCGAGGCTTGCTTCCACACACTTTGGGGGTTGCCCAGCACCCAACATCAGCCTCTCCCTTGCAAACAGAGGCACCCCAAAAGGCGGGATAGCAACAGGCAGGAACCTTCCACCTCCGTGAAGCTTCCAGGAAAACCTTTTCATCCAAGGAAAATTGCCCCAAAGCTCAGCAAATGAGCGGAGAGGGCTGGCCCTTTGCATGGCCCTGAGAAAGCATTACATGTTCACCCCCGAGAAGGGGGCCCAGCTGCAGCCCAGGGGAAAGGGGCTCGGTCTTTACGAACGAGGCGGCGGCCTGGAGCATCAGACCGAGGGTGGTGACATTCAGTGAGCTGGATCCCCACTCCAGGGAAGGGCTGCTGGGGTCCCAGGCCTCTTGGTCCCCCTGGATTCCTTCCGGCGCAGCCACGGGAGCCCCTCCTGCTTGGTGTGCATTGGGGAAGCTGACCAAGGCCTCTTTGGCCCTTGCTGGATCCAGCTGAGGCCCTCAAGAGGGCAAGAGGGCGCGGGTGGGAGAAGAAAGCAGCTGCTGGAGACTCCCTGCGAAGCCAAGCGGAGCTTCCAGGACCAGAGGCAAACATCTCTGCATGTTGGGCAGGCAAGGGCTGGATCATTAAGGAGCCTCAGGTGTCCCCCTTCCTGCGCAGACCTCTTCCTGTGCTCGCTCGTTCACTGCAATGCGATCAAATCCTCCGCAGGAAGGAGCTTAGTGGTGCGGCCGGGGGATGCTCCGCTTCTGGCGGAGGGGTTGCGGGTGGCAGGTGTGCTGCGCAATGGCGCAGCTCTCTCCTGGTCAACAGGGTGGGGCCTCAGGGAGGAGCTGAGCAGCCTCTGTGTTTCGTTTGACTCCTCCGTGGATGAACACACGCGATGCTTTTCCTTCTTGCTCTCAGGGCAGAAGTTGCATGTCCCCTGCCAGGGCTATACCATTTTCCCAGAGAGTGGCATCATGTACTGGCTGGCTAATAGCACTTTTGTGGATAAGCTGTACCCAGATGGATCAGTGGAGGAGGCGGCCACCGTGTGAGTAAATGCTGATGCTGTTTTCTCAAAGGAAAAACTGGAAAGGCAGAAACTGTCCCAGATTAAACTTTACCGAGGAAAAAGTAAATTCAGAGCAACAGAATCCCATATTTCTAGCCTGGTGAGGAGTGAAAACTGGCATGGAAAAGATCTAGATCTGGATCCAGCCCTTCTGGAGGGAGCCAAGGGCCACGCCAGGAGATGGGGGGCCACCTGGACTCCGGGGGGGAAGCCACTCCAGGGGCTGGGCAATTTGGCACACTAGGTTGGGGGACCCTGGTGGGAGGGCAGCGTGATCTTAGAAGCCAATGTGGACGGGCATTTCCTTGGGACAAGGAATTTCGGCGCTCGGCGCACTACCTCCTGCCTCCAGGGTGCTGCCAGGAGAAGCCACTTCAAAACGTACACGGTTTGCTCTGGTGTCTTGGGGAACAAAAGCAGGAGAGCAATATTTAAAATAAGCAAGCGTCTGCCTCAATATTTCAGGTATCTCTTCACTGCAGCCTAACCTCATTTTCTTCTGTAGCTGTTTAAAAACAGTGAAGAAGTTATTATATTTTGTGACTGGAAGGTACCTTTGGAACGTGTGTTAGCTGAGTCTGTTAATTATTTTTAGGGGTCCTGGTGATCAGAAAGGCCGCCAGGGCCAAGGCGTTGGATATCTAGCTCCAAAGGTGCCAAACACCACCTTGATTGGGGCCCCCCCCCCCCCCCGAATTCTCTCCTGCTTAGCTAAGTGGCAGCACTTGGTTAACTCTGAAAAGGGTTACCGCTCGGACAGGAGACCACTGGGAACCCGCCCCCCCGACTGAAGCTTTAGACTGAAAAATGGCAAAATTGACCCAGAAAGCAAGGGGCAAACCACCACCATAGATTTGCCAAGAAATCAGTAGGGACATGCCCATAAAGTCACCAGGAGCCACACTTAACCCAAAGGAGATTTAAATTCTCCACCATTCTTCTTCCGTGGTATTGTAGGACTCTCAAACGCCCGGCTCCCAATTCCCATGATGGTTGCACTGGTTGTCTGTGTTCTTCTTCAACTTCTTGTGTGCTCATTTTCCGCAGGGAGAAAGACAGAGAGCTGACCCGGGAGCTTTTCTTCCACTCCTTCACAGAGCAGGACTTCCACACAAAATTCGAGTGCATCATCCTCGACCCATCAGGCGTAGTCCGGAAGGCCATAAAGTGGGACCATCAAGATCCAAAAATGGGTGGAAACAGAGCACTGCTGGACTAGCGAGAGGAGCGCAGGGTGAGTTCATGCTGTCTCCAGGGGTGCCAACAACCTCCCGTCTCACAGAGATTACTTGTGCAAATTTCCCGGCCCACGTAAGGATCACGTAGAAGCTGCTGAAGTGCTGGGAATTCCCTTGGAACCTGATTTTGGTGATTCGGGCAAAAATGGATCCATCTCCCCAATTCCCTGGGTCTGAAACGGGCTGTTGCTCTGAGGACGCCAACTAAGGGCACGAACTTAAGAGCTCCGGACACCCAGATTCCCTGACAGCGGTGGCCTTGATGGCAGGGGCCCCGTTCTGCTCGTTCAGTTAAAACGAGGCAAGAGACCAAACAATGCTGGGGATCTTCACAAGGACCCAACACGTTCCTCCGAGAAGCCCACGGGTGGCATTAAGAACCAGGCTTCCCAGGACTGGAGGGGAGAAAGGAATCTGTAATTTCATGATTACAATGGTGTAATAGCACATTTATATAATGCCTCCCCCCACAACACCCTCCAGCATCTCATCCTGCTGGAAGTGACAGATCGTCCTCATGAGTTTTCTGCTCCACAGGCTTCTCCCCTTTTAAAAGCTACTCAAGTTTGGCGGGGGGCCATCTGGGGACAGCATTTCCATTAACTTGCTTCTTTGTGAACGGTTCTTCCAGCCATCCCAAATCACACATACCCACCTCTTGGTTCACTGGACAGTGAGACACATTCTAATATAATATTGCAATGGTGAAAAGCATCCTCCTTTCCCCCTTTTCTGCACTCCCCTTGATTTCTTGCCCCAATACCCCCATCTTTTTTATATGCTGACTCGCCCCCTCCCCATCCTTGGAGCAATTGCTCCACCCTTTCTCTTGCATCCCAGCTTCCCTTTTAGGGCCTGGGGACCAGGTCTTTTCTCCCAAAAGGACAACGTAAAAGCTCAGGGTTAAACATCTTCCAACAAGGATCGAAGAGGGCAGAATCCATGTTTAGGGATCTCTGCCTGCAAATGGAATGTGCCTTTCCAATCTGCAGCCCAGCTGGTGATCCGGGTGGTGATTCGACCCCTGGGCCCGCCTCTCCGAGAAAGGAGCTTCACCCAAAGGAGATGCACGCAGGGCAGCCCCCCCCACCATCTCTGGCAGCCTCCCCCCTGCTTTGGCAGACGAGCGTCCGTTGGCTCTGGGCGGCTGCTGCTGCTGTGGCTCCATAGGGACCGCTGTCTCGGTTGCCTTGACCCGTCAGACTGTCTGAGGTCCATCACGGTGCCGTTTTCCTCTTTCTACCAGAACACAGCGGTCCAGACTGTCTTCGCGTGCCAGAGAACTCGCAGGGCCTGGAAAGTGAAAACCAGCTGCAACCCCCCTCCCCCCGCATTTCGTGGCTCCCTGGGGACAAGAGGCTAAAGGTCAGAAGTGGACGCAGAAGGACGGAAGGACAGTCACTTTGGCTTCGCTGGGCCCTTTCAAGCATCTTTCTTTCTCCCGCCCTCCAACTGCTCCATCGGCTGAAGACCTTGCCGAGAGTGGGGAATATGCTGGTCTAATAAAGACGGACTCCATTGGAAGACTGGGGGATAACGTCCCCAGAAGGAAAGAGAAAAACCAGACCACCTGATGAGTGAAGATGCTGCTTTGAGGATTTTAAACAGCCGTTCTCCCCATACAACGCAGAGCTTCTCTGCATCAAACCAAAGGCTTCCCCACTCCATTTCCCCCCACTGACTCGTGCATTTGCAGCATCACTGGAAAAACAGGGGAGTGGGGCGAGGGCGTCCTCAAACTGAGCTGACGAGATTCCTGGAAACACTGCACAAGTCTATCTTGGAACTCTTGCTCTGGCTTTTGTGAAGCCTGGTTTAATCCCCCTCCCCAAAGGGTCTGGCTTTTGTTTGACTCGCATCCCGTTTTGGTGCAAAGGAGGAAAGTTACGAACACTTGAAAAGCCCGGGTTGTAAAGGAGAAAGTTCTCTATCACTCTCTGTAAATGTTTTGTCTCCTCCTGATGCTTAATTTCCCTGCCGCGTTTATACCATCTGATTAAAAAACAGAAATCTACGTGCCGTTTGTTTTTTTCCATGCTAATAAGAGGGGGGTGGAGCTAGTTCTCCCAAATGATGGTTCAAACTGGGAACAAGCTGGGATACGCCACCTCCCTCCCAGCAGCTTGAACAACTTCCTGAGCAGAGGCGTCTCTGCAGCCCTTCCCCAGCTCTTGTGTGCACATCGGCACCACTCTGAGCGGTCGTGCTGGGGCCAGGGAGCCCCCTTCCTTCAGCTCCTGCTCCTCCAGCAGGTTGCAGAGATGGCAGCTCCGGAACGGGGGGGGGGGAAGGGGCTTCTCCTCGCTCCCTTCCCCCGGGACAGAACCCTCTGGACGTCCATGCTCCTCTCCCTGACAGCAGATCCAGGGCCGCCCTGCCCTCCTGGACCACTCGTGGGACTCGGGAGCTCCGCTTGTTGTAGAAATCTTTATTGTATAAAACTTCACAATATTCCCATAAAAAGCTCTGCCAGTATTTTCTCCTCTCTTTGGAAAAGCCATCGTCATAAGTTGCCTCTGCTAACTGCTGGAGCTCATTTTCGCCAACCCTTTTGTTGTTGGTACAAAACATGGTACGAAACAAGCCGAAGGGCTCCCCTCGTGGTCTTGTGCCAGCCCTGCGGAGGTCAGCAATTGAGAAGAAGACGGTCACCTTGTCAAGACACCTAAAGCGAGTCAGACTAGGCCTTGAGTGAGAATGTTAAGCTCTGCTTATGTGCGATTTCCCCAGTTTAACATAATGATCTTATACGAGCTTCCTGTACACACTCCAGAGCCTATAAATAAAGAAGTTTTCTATGCTTTGTCTGCACGACTGTAGAGTTCTGTCCAGGTCCTTAATGTGTTAAGTCAAATATTTTTTTGCTGCAGCTCTGATTTCACCTAGAGGATGCTCCAATCCTTTTATACAAGACCTGAGAAACGTTCCTGGGAGGGAACTTACTAGGAAGAAAACTGCGCTCTGCATAAGCGCAGGAGAACTTTCTCGTTTGCCCGGCCTTACGCTGCAGGTCAGGCCTGCTCTTGGCACCCTTCTGTCCAGTCCTCGAACACGACGACTGAGGCTGCCAGTCCCAGTGGTGCCCCAGACACCAGCGGGGCTGGCTTCTAAGTAGGCAGGGAGAGGATCGCTGCAAAGCCACAATCAGCCACCACTGGGAGAAAAATACCATTTATTTACAAGTAGAAACATTATTTAAAATGACACATTTGATTGCTAAAGTCTCTACAAAGGCGAGTAGTAGAGGATTGCAAGCAGGGGAAGCCCTTGGGCGGTGCCCCCCCAGCCCGGGAGCCTTCCTCCGCCAGGACCTCCCTTTGGCAGCCCGTGCCCAGGGAGAGCGCGTCAGCCCCGGCTCGGACCAGCGCACCCCCCCATGGAGAAGCAGGAGAAGCCCCTCTCCCCAGGCCCAGGGCTGGACTCTCCCCTCACCCAACTGGAAACACACCTTCGCCAGCCCCCTGAAACCAAGGAGGGCAGCCCCACGGCTTCTGGGCAGTGCTCGGCTGGCACCACAGGCTGGCGCAGAAACACAACCCGTCAGATATACCACCCAGGATCATTCCCAACCCTGACAGCGAAAGGCTCACCTTCGCCTACCTGCCCCAGGTGAGTTCCTGGCAGGCGCCCGCCCGTGGCTCCCCTGCCCCAACCCAGGTTCTACAGAGCACAATACAAAGCAACGTTGCTGAGTAAAGCCGCGAGAGAAAGAGAGGCCCATGCCCAAGCTGTCCCCCCTCCTCTAAGGAACGGCAGCATGCCCCCCTCCCTGGGAGGGCACAACCTCCCAGCGCACAGACAAGGCTGACCCTGCGGGGAGCCGCCGCGGGAAGGGCCCCACCTTCGCTCGCAGCCCCCATCGCCTGCCCGGCAGCCGAGCCTTCCAGGAGCGCAAGGAGCCGAGGAGGAACGCCGCCGCGAGGGGAGCACCAACACGAGGGAGGAGCCCTCCCGCGAGGCCTTGAGAGGCCAGCCGCGTCTGCCGCTCTTCTTCCGCCAGCAGCAAAGGGGGCCCTAAGGAGCACGAGGGCCGAGCTCCTTGCGAGGAGGCCAGCAAGGAAGAAAGGCCAGCAAGGTTTCTTTGGGACCTTTGTGCCTGGGGGTGATCCAGCCGGGGGCCGATCAGGCCTCGATTCCAGGGCCCGAGGTTGGTGCAGGGATGGGCCTGCAACGGTCTGGGGACTGCCCCAATTCCCCGGGGAGGGGAGGGGAGGGGAGGGGAGGAAGGCACACACACTCACGGAGGCTGTGAACAGGAGGCTCCCCCTTCTCCACCCTCGCTGGGCGTGGGGATAGAGGCGGAAGGGGCCTCGGAGGAGAAGGCCTTGTTCCTAGGCCTCCTTGAGGCAGGGGGACGGGCCGCAGGGAGGCGCAGGCGACGGCAGCGGCAGAGGGATGTCGGCCCCTTGCTCCTCCTCCTCCTCCCGCGAGGGATGCTGCGTGGCGGAGTTGGCAGCCGGAGAAAAGGGCACTAGAATTTCACACTCTTCGGCGACTTGGAGCTGCCCTGCAGGAGAGAAGGAGACATGGGGTTGAGCCGCCAGTCTGGGCAGCAGGGCAGGGCAGGGCAGGGCAGGGCAGGGCAGGGCAAGCCTTGGGGAAATTCTCCTGCTTCCCCCCCCCCCACGAAATGGACGGGAGCAGCGCAAAGGCCCAGCCGTAGAGCAGCCTGGCGAGAGGCCTCCGAAGGCCGTGCAAGGCCGGGAGAACCACAGCCATGCCAGGCCGCAGCAAAGCAGCAAGCGTGCATCAGAAGAGAACTTCCTCTCTCGCATACATACGCGGACCCCCCCCCAGTGCTTCTGGTGCTTCAGTCCAGAAACCAGCCCACCGCATGGGAGGGAGAGGGCCCGTGCGTGTGCCTTTGCTACGCCCCGACAGGAAAGACTGCATGCAACCCTGCAGGGCCGGGCAGGTGCGCACTTGCCTGCTGTGGCTGCCCCTGAGACCTGTGGAAGCAAAGCATGTTCAGCAGGGCCTGACTGGCGGGGGACAACTCCCTCCACAGGCCAAGTTGGGCAGCTGAGAACAGGAGGAGGAGGAGGAGAAGCAAGAACCCAGCCCAGGTCAGAAGCCGGGGCTTGTCTGGCTCCCTGAACACCTTCTCTGCCCGTCTGGCAGGGGCGGAATCCCACTGCTCCCCCCCGCACTTGCCATCAACGTCTTTCTCAACTCCAACTCCATCCCCATCGCTCAGGCCCTCCCATCTGCTTTCAGGTGGGGGGGTCCCACCCCACCTCCAACCTCTCTCTCCTCTGTCTGCTGAGCTGGAATTTCCCGCCTGTGGGTCACTGCTCTCTCCCCCACTTAACTGGCCAAGCCCCCCCACCTCTTTAGAAGCTGTTCTCCATCGGGAGAAAGGAGAAAGGCCACTTTTTTTCTCGTTGGATTAACTTTATACTTGCATGTTTTATTAGGATGTTGATTACACACACACACACACACAAATGTGGCTCAGTATTTTGCTCATGCAGCAAAACATACTTTCAGCTCAGATTTGGGGCCAGGATGTGGGGGGTGGGTGGGCAAGTGGGGTGCTACAATGGAAAACACACCAAGCCCTGCAACCTGGGGCTCTGGGCCCCCCCAACCCCATACCTTGCCCTTTGAAGACGCAGCTGTCCTGGGAGATCTCCGGCTGCCGCCGCGGGGGGAACTTTTAGGAGTCACCTTACGATTGGCCCCACGGCGCAAGAGGCTGTTCCCCAGTTTCTTCGGTGTGTTCAGGATGCTGAACGCCAGCGACTGACGCCTCTCAGACTGGGGAGTGGGGGGACAGCAAATTATTCTTTATAATTAGGCCACGTTTGGAAGGAAAGAGAAGAGGAAGATGCCCAGCAGCAGACAGATGAGTCAATTACAGAGGTGATGGCTGCACCCTTGAAAGATCTGAAGGAGCAGGCACAGGACGGATCCTCCTACAGAAATCTACCTATGCAGTTGCTAAGAGCTGACACCAGCTCTATGGCACATAATCACCCAATCAATCATACTTGCTCAGAGCCATCAAGGCTCATCCTAGGGGATTTTTTCCAGGTATTTCTCAGACACAACCATCCTGTTGAAGCAGGTACAGAGATCAGCAGAGTGCAACCGACCCAGAGGATAAACCCCACATCAAGAACAGACCACAGGGTTGGAGGCAAGGGACCAAGCTCTCAGCCAGGCCTGGATCTCCTTGGGCAACCGCCCTACAGGGGCCAGTGATGCCAGCCGCTACACCAGTGTTTCTCAACCTTGGCAACTTTAAGTTGTCTGGACGTCACGCTGGCTGGGAAATTCCGGAAGTTGAAGTCCACACAGTTTAAAGTTGCCAAGGTTGAGAAACGTTGCTCTACACCAAAGGAAGGCCTGCTTGGTGGTCTCTGTCAGGAATGCCCCATCAGGTTTCATGCCAAGCAAACTAGTGAGTCTCTGTGCAAAACAATACATGGACCCGCAGACACCTGCTTCCAAAACCCGGGAGGATGTCAACTCTTCAGGACCGTCCCCCGATCCCAAGGCACCCCGCCCCAGGCAAAGCGATTACAGCAAGCAAACCCATCGGTAGGGGGTTGAATGCTGTCTCTCCAACAGTCCCACACGGCCTCCGGTCTCAACAATCACCCAGAGCTGCTTCTGCCATTTTCATAGGCTGTTCCCACCATCCTCCGCTCAACTTTGCTTTCTTGTCTTGCTGAGAAAAAAGCTAAAGTTAAGGGAAGCCTAACCCTGCCCACCAGAAGTCTCTTCCTTGCCCTCACTGTGAATGCTTCCTGAACGCAAGCAAAATCCAATTAGCCAGAAATCTGTTCTCAGAAGCACACAAATTCCAGGTCTCCTGTGGGAATCACGGATTTGATAGCGATGGCTGCCCACACCTCCAAACAATGAAATCAATAAAGGGAACAGCACCGAATTGTGGAACCCAGATCAAACCCAGATTCCCAACCCCTTCACACACAAGAACTGGATGCAGGCTCTCTTCTCTGGACCGCCAGAAGGCCTGAAGGGCCAGTTAGGGACAGATTGTCATGGAGAAACTCTATCTATGTCGTCGCCAAGAGTCGACAACAGCTTGATGGCAAGTGATCAGCCTGTTCTCTGGGAGGCCCTTGTGGGCCAGAAGGAAAGTTAGAAAAACCTTTACAACTGAAATGGCCTCCATCCCCTCCCAAGACACCCTGGGCTCCTACACAGACTTCAAGCATGCTCTGAGCATTGGGGGCCACATTGGTAATGGGGGAGGAGGGACCACGTTTATGAGTCTGGGATCCCCCTGGTGGCCGAGGAGGCCCCTCCGCCGCCACCTTGGCCATGCTCCTGCAAGCCCCCAGAGGCGCTTACCTGCTTGCCTGCTGGCTGGGCTTTGCTCCTCTTGCCTCCCGCGAGGGCACCCTGCTTTCGATCCTCGGGGCTTCCCTCGGGGGTCTGGGGGGG